CAGCGCGTCGGCACTCTCGCACGTTGTACCGCCATAAAAATCGCATTTCAAATCAAATCAAATTAATTTTCGAATTCTCAAAGTAATAGAAGTGATCAAAAGGAATGCCTCACGGGTGGCGTAGAGTGAAAATTCAATGTTTGGTAGGCGAGTGGGCACAGCTGTGCCAGAAATCAAGCATTTGACTCTTAACATATGCATATTAGTGTATACCAATGTATACCTATGTCTGTGTGCGTGCGCTAATAGCGTTTTATTTATATTTAACTGCTGCGGCCATAAACCTCATTTGGGTGTTGTTGCGCATGTGTATGCAAGTAATTAGTGTTGACCTCAAATTAGGATGATCTATCAATCAAAGTAATGAAAGAATCTATCTCGATTTACGGAACTAGTTAAAAAATAAAAAATAAAAAAAATTCTGAAGCAACTGCAAGTAGTAAATGGTGGAATTCGTTTAGAACCTATTACTTTCTTTTTAAAATCGGCATGTTCTCCAGGAAAATAGAAACTGTGCCTATAACYATATTTGTGCGTTTTTTCAAACACCGTTGCATTGGTTCAGTGTTTATTTATTTTTTTTTAAAGCYTGTGCAGTAGTATAATTCAAAGYATTGCCCATCTGAAGYTRTAACATTTGCCCATCTCTCTGGCAACTTATTGTTTCTGTACCAAAATAACTGTGCCGTCTTGCCGAAAAAGATGACTGTAGCCAATTTTTTATATCTTCTTATGTTCGATCGATCCAAACAAATGGTGGTTAGAAGAGTCAAGTTATGGACTGTAAGGCAAAACTTTCTAGCWRCTGTTTTCAAATAGTTTTTAAYCGGCCATAGCTTCAACTCATACAATTGTAATTATGGCAGTCAACTTGGTTGCCTTTGAATGTATCTTCCTTGTAAATGGCTTATAGAGTGACTCCAAAGTAATTTGTGAGCTCTTCTTGTGCTTGGTATTGATCTTCATTGAGTAATGCTTTCTGTTCCTCATTTGCAACATTTYTTTGGCCCCCTAGGTTGTTCTTCATCTTGTTCTTCTGCTTCTTTAATGGCATTGCCGTCGATCGTCTTCTAATTACCACTTTTTAAATGTGTAAACCAATTTTGACATTGGTTTAGTTAAATCATGTCTAGTTTTCACCAAAAAAAAAAAAAAGATGACCTTGGTATGAGATTTTCTTCATACCACCGTTGTGGTTATAGCTGTTTTTTAGCGGCAGCAAACTTTCCGGCATTAATTACGAGGAATGGTGTCGAGTTGATAATCCGTGACCGGATAAAAATCCGGACCCGTTCCCGTTACTTAGACTCGACTGTCGTGAGAACGTACACCACCTACTAGTTTGCTTCAGAAGTTTTGCCGTATCATTTTTGTGCAGCTAAGATATATATCGAAAGGGGCCTTTCTAAGAACCTTGGAGCCTGTGATCAGTCTCTCTATGATGAAGCTTTCTAAAGTGTCCTTAAGGGATATTTGTAGTAAATTCTTTCAAGAACTACATGAAATCCATTTCCAAAGAGAGACTTTGTTCATAATTTTAAAATTCCTAATTTATTCTTCAAATTAAATGCCGTCCACCTCAAAGGCGTTGCGACACGAAAATGCAGTATGCTACGGTGTATTATCGTAGTGCAAAAACCAGTACTTGTCGGCCCATAATTCCGACTTCCTTTTACGAATAGCCTCGATCAGTCGACGCATTACCCTAAAATAGTATTCCTCATTGACATTGTGGCCTGTCAGAAGGAATTCGAAGCGCACTATATCTCGAGGATGGAAAAAACTGTCCATATAACCTTGATTTTTTACCTTTGCCGCTATATTCGTCTGTTTCCGGGTCGTAAGCATAGATCCCAGACTCATCGCCAGTAATAATACGTTTCATGACATCCTGGCAGTCGGCAAACATTGTTTCACTGACGTTATTGCGACGCTGTGTTTTCGAAAAAATTGAGTGATTTTGCAACAATTTGTACTATCAGTTTTTTTAGGCCTAAATGGTTTTCATAGATCCTTCTGATATTCCAAAGATGCCAGTAATATCTCTRACTATTAGTCGTCGATTTCTCAAGCACCACCAATTCCTCTATCACTCGATGGTGATGACCATTTTGGACTTGGTTTATAGTCAACGCGTGCTCGACTTGTAAATATACATATTGTATAAAGGGTATAATATCACAGTATCAACAGTAAACCACTTYTAAAGAGATTTCTACATATTGACCTTCACATTTAAGCCTCAGTCTAAATATTTCTTTGTCTTGACAGTTTAAAGTGCTCTTTAGAGCAGCTAGTCAARTGTCTACAGTCTCTTCAATTTGAAATATAGGTCAGGAGCGTGAAATTGATCTCAATTGAAACAGCTCACAAAACAACAAAAAAAATGAAATAATAATAGTAAATAGTTGGAATGTGGTAGAATATAGGTAAACTCAACAACAACAAATTTATGGGTTACAAGCTTAACAAGCAGCGAWAAATAACAAATGCAACAAGTGCTCAAAGTGGAGGCCTACATCAGCAATTAATGCAACAACACAGTGAGTGCTGCATCTCAACCAAATCACTCCACTTCCACGCTGCCGCCGCCACCGTCGCTGCACCAAAAATCACTGATTGCGCTACAAATTCGTGCTTGCATTTTTTGAATGTTGGACGTTGATTTCGCATAAAATCAGCGCTTACACAACCGCTTAACGGACGCAGCGGTGGAGGCGGWGGCAACAAGTGAATTGACCAACTCGAACACTAACACATGCGCATATATTTTATATAGATCGTATCTATGTGCGTATGCCGATTTGCCGTTACATTGTTAGGCAAGCGGCATAGCCATGGTTAGCGGTAATCAGTTGCAATCAGTAATTACGCCGCTCGGCAATTGCTGTTGTTGGCGATGGAGGGGCAACAAAAAAACAAAAAAAAAAATTCATAGTAAACAAAAACCATCTTGCACTCAAGACTATACCGCTTTAATTTACAGTTTGGTCAGTTTTTGGTTTTTAATATCGTAAGCAACAACAAYATTACGTCGTTGATAAGGCACGCAGCGCAGGAACTCGAAAAGTATATTTAATAATTCGTAAAATATGTAATTTATTTTTGTTTTTGTTTAATTTTCGACATTTTGCTTTGGGTAGCATCAAAATAATGCTAGTGCCTGGCCACTAGCCACCACCCTTTCGACTGAGTAATGGAGTGTTGTGCAAAAGTGGGTGTTTGTGCCGCTCTTTTATTTGTTGTTTTTATTTTCAAATGAGAATGGCAAACAAAAGCAACACTAATTGCAATTTTTGAACTCGTTTTTCGATGTTTTTATTTTAATTTTAAATTGTTTAGCGCGGTGTTACTTCATGTGTATGTACGTAAGTGTATAAGGCGATTGTGTTGTGTCGGTTTCATTATCGYATTGCTGTGCTGAGGTCATCTTCGCTCAGATAAATGACTTTGGCAGYGATTTGCTGGCAAAAATAAAGTGGAGTAATAAATAGTTTCCATTAAGGCGATGCTGTATTGCAAATTAATGAACATATCATTAATTACTCGWTGTATGATGAGGCAAAATATCAATAAAAAATGAGCTAAATGTTCATACTTATTAAAGACTAATTTTGACTTATAAAKAGTTGGTATAAGAGAAAAAAATGTTGAACTAGATTACAAAAATAAAAGAAAACGCTCGTTTCTTCTTCAGCATCCCATATACTATAAAACAAGGAATGTCGGCTGCATCGAAGCTAGAGTACCCTTYACAGGTGCATTTCTTATATAATAAAAGATTACAACAAGTTCTTTGTTTTAATTTTGATCGGTTGGAAAATAATCCATTGCAAATTTCGTGAAGATATTTTGTAAAATAAAAACGTTTACGATAAAAAACTTAATTTTATAAATAAGAAGAAGCTATTTATAAGCGTAGTTTAGCGTAGAAAAAATGCTTAAGGGATCACGTAAAAAGTACTAAGGTCACCAGAAGTTTCCAAGTTTGCCTAGTAGAGTTGCCCAGAAATTTCATGCRAATGGAAGTCATATTTAAATATTACCCTCTTGTAGATATAAAGTAAAATATAAACACCTAGTTGAAACGATGACATTATATTTTTACTTAATAATCAATATAATCACATGAACATATCAAAGCGCAATTATTTGTATATAAACATGTCAGATAAGTTTACAGATGACCTTGTCTACGAAYATTTATCATTATAAAAATTATTGTTTATTCCCAGTTAATTGCACTTTATACCTTAGCTCATCTCTCAATGCCACAACTCCCCACTCTACAACCCGCTCACAACGCTACACACCTAATGATTTGCACGCAAATGCATGYGCTAGAACATGGCGAGCTCACCTTCACACTTTTGTTGTACTTTTTTCGAACTTAATTGCAGCACTCGCTACTCATTTAAACTTTTTYCATGATTGCATCTGCGAAAAAAGCATACAAACGTCAGCTCACCACATGTTCGATTGTATTTGCACGCTCAAATATTACGTCATTTGTCTAATTTTAGTTAAAACATTTAATTCGCTGCATTGTTTGGCGAAGCTTTGCTTGCTGCTGCCACTCGATCTGCTGTTGCTCGTGCTGTTGAGCTGGCGTTGAGTTTTGTAGTTTGCATTTTTCGCTTTTTGCACTTTTATCACTGCTTTTTTGTGCACCATTCGCCAGTTTTTTATTGCATATTTTTGTGTTTATTTATTYGTTAATGCTTCTGTTGCTGTTGTTGGCACATTTTGTTGCATATCTCGTTGTAAACTCAAAGCTTAGCTCACCTAGCTAGAGAGTTCCAGATTCATACATACATGTGCACATATGTTAGTAAATAAGTATGTATTTGAATGTATGTGTGTATTGCTGATTGCAAGCATGGTATTAGATTTTTCAAACATTAGATGAGTCGAGTGAATTTATTTGAAATTTTTGCATTCGCATATCGACAGCAATCAGTTTTGCAATCGCCGGTCGTGTTGTAGCGTCGCTGTGTGCAAACTTTGCTTTCGACAGAGTGAGTTAATTATCTAATAAAAGCAAGGTTTAGTAAAAATATGGAATAACTAAGACACTGAATTGTACTTTACACATGTTCGCAACAGATGAACATTTACTTTCAATTTGAAGTGTTCGGAGAAATTACTAAAGGATGGTAAATATGAGAAAACTTAGAATTTAGCGGAAGGTTTAAAAAATGGAAAAAGAAAAGCTAAAAAATCTCTGAGCTGAAAAATAAATATGAACGATGTGTCGTAGGTTATTTCAAATCCTGTTGAAGAAATAAAAATTTTGACATAGCATCAAATTATTTTCATATTTTGTTGGTGCATTTCTAAAAACAATTCAGCTGGCTGAAAACTTTCAATAAATTTCTACAGATAATATTTTCAATTTCTTTTTTCTAAAGTAATTTCATAAAAAAAAATAAAGTTGATTCAGTTCCACTTGTTTGTTATTGCCGAAGTAGAAAAAAATGTATTGCTATTTAAATTCCCTAAATTCTGCTTTAAGGGGGGTTTAGAGGTATAAATAACAGGTGTATTTTGAAGTAGTGTCGAATAAAGGCAATTCATATTTTTGCTATAAATATTTTACTAATTATTTATTATAATTAAGGAAATACAGAAAAAACAGAGAAAAAAAAATTTCAACAAAATGGAGTGGGGACTCTCAAAAAATTGGCAAGTGAGCCACGATTTCAACCCTCATAGTAATCTGACAACACAAAAAATATTGATTTAGAATGATATTAAATAATGTTGCCTGTCTAAAAAAACAATTTTTGTACCACTTTTTTGGAATATAAAAAGTGAAATTTGTTTCGGCTTGTTTTTTCACTCCATTCTGATGATTGTTAACATGTCAAACTCATAAACTCATGTCTCATCGGCAGTTCTAATGCTTTCCATGAATGTGGGATCATAATTCGTACGATCAAACATGTGCAAAGACACTTATTTACGGTATTATCTCAAAAACAAAATCAGCTTTTCGGGACGAGTGGAGCAAGAGCGAGTTTCATACCGAAAATATTCACCAAAATCATTTTAAYATTTTTATAATTTGAGAAATGGAAGGTTGTCCAGAAAGAGGTATGCCTTCAACGATCTTTCGACCGTCTATGATATTTTACCATTCGTGGGATTGTGTTTAAAACTGAATCACCGTAAGCCTTTTCTAACATGCGCAACTATTTCGCGCACAGAATTGGGTTAGAAATACAAAATATGAGATAAATTCTTTGATATTTTTATTCATGGCAAAAATCAAAACRCACTACTGAGGTGTACCGACTTAAGCAGCTGCTGTAAGCAAACTGGTTGACAGATCGTGCTCATAATTGGTACAGTAATTATAGACAGTTCTACCAAATTAGAAAAATAACATTTTTTCAAATTTATTATATTTAAGTTAGGATTTCCGYATAATTTTTTGTCACAATGTATGTCCGAAAAAAATTTGGATTTTGAATAACTCTTTTTTAGTGATATTCCTGAGTAGTTAAGTTTTGAAATCGATTTATTTATAGACCAAATTTTGCCATTTTGGTAAGCCATTTTTTTCAAATAAAGATTATAATTAATATTAGATTAATTTCAACGAAAAATCTTTAAATCAGTCAAGAAAATATTGTTTCTAAAAAACCGGAATAATTTTTTCGAAAAAATTTTTAACAAGTCGTGTTAAAAGTAAATATTTAAAATAACAAAGTGAGTGCTGAAATATTAAAATATTTGGTAAAATAAAATATAAAATAATTAACAATATTTTTAGTAAGCTTTTTTTAATTCGAATTTGTCTTGAAATTTTTGTAAAAATTTCGTATAAACTGTATTAGCAAAATGTAAGTATCCTTTTAAGAAATACATTTTTTGAACATTTAAACTATTCACTTATAAACAAATACAAAAATATATATTTTTGAAAGTATTTTCGAACAAATTTTTTTATTTTTAGTAAGAGTTTAGTAATAACTACGTTAAGTATACATTTCTGCATATTTTTTTTTTTTTTTTAAATACCTAGGATTAGCCAAAGAAAACTTGAGCACGAAATAAACCTTAGTTGATTCTATTTCACCTTCAATTAAATAGGATTCTCATAAATAAACAAAAAAGGACTGCATAGTCAAAACAAAAGTTTATAAAAACTAATTGTATTTAACCTGTTACATCAAATAACTGTAAATATGAAATTCTAAGTCCAAACAAAATCATTGTTAACGATTACACACCCAAAAAGTTCTTTATTTTCTTTATGATTTGTAATTTTCTCCAGCTATTGTACTAGATCAATGAAATTCAATAAAATGCGCTCAATGCGCTCAATGCTTACGTAACGCTTACAGCTACAACAAAAATAAAGCGTTTGTATCTGTGTAGGTATTTCCATGTAATTATCGGGCGATACGAGGTTCTCACGAACATAAGAATATTTCCAACGGTAATGCGTGAATAGGCATCGCAGCAACAAAGTAATACGAAAGCAAAATAAAATTAAAAACAAAACCAATTCTCTCACACGGTAATGAATATTGTAAATTACAGTTAAGTGCAAACCACAATTTGAATGTTAGAAGTTCGACACCGGTCTCATTGTTGTTGCATTGTAGTTGTTGTTATGACTTTGTAATTGATATATGTAAATAGTCTAAGCCAAACAAATGATAAAGCTCACTCAATGCAAGTGAAGCTTACATACTCAACTATTTGTGTCCAATTCGAAGGCATCTTTAGTTAACTGTAAATTTACATACATATATACTCATAGTATATGATCGAGTATCTACAAGTATGTGCAAAAATATTTATTTGGGGGAAATGGGTCACCCACTTTTATTTCACAATGTGCCCGATATTCGAAATGAAGCAAAATATCAGACATTGAGAAAAATTAAAGCTTTTCAAAATTTGAGCTTTAAAAAAGCTTTTCGTAAAGTCATTAAGTCTTCCGTAAACTTTCTGCCCMATGAAATCAAAAATGTGATATTTTGTTAAAAAGGTTGAAAACAGTGAAAGTCAGAAGGACAAGTGGATTTGATAAAAAAAAAACGCAAGTCAGCGAAAATATAATGTTGTTATTGTTTATTTGAGGAATCAATAGACATTTTTTGATTGAAAAATTAGCTATATATCGTACTGTTTACATGTGAATTTGAGTGTATTGTCATGGCTACTAATTTTGACACCACAGGGTGCAAGTGAAAGAATTTATCAAAAGCTTTCGAATCAATATAATTTTTAAACGTCATTGTACTTTTTAAGGTGGTTTTGGTTGAAGTATGTTTTTGATGATTAATGTTCATAGACTTAAATAACCAAATAAATAAATATGTCACATAAAAGCTTTATTAGAAACCATTGAATTAGTAWAACGCTTTTGATGAGCTTTGAGCTCAAGCTTTAAGGTTTGGGAAAAAATTATTTTGAATTTCGATTTCTTCCGTTTTTGAATGCAAAAGTTCTTTAGAGTAGGCTTAGAGCTTGTCTAGAAAACTTTTGATGGACTGTGAGTTCAAGCTTAAAGGTTTGGATTTTTTTTAAACTCGATTTCATTCAAATACTCCTTTTTAATACAAAAGTTATTTAGAGAGAGCTGAAAGCTTGTATAGAAAACTTTTGATGGGCATTCAGTTCAATCTCAAAGGTTTGAATTTTTTATTACCTCGATTTGTTTCTAAGGCTAATTAAAATGCTTTTTTGAGTTCAAAAGCCATTTTTAGGGAGCTTAAAGCTTCTATTTCATAWAGCTTATAATTTTGTTTTACCATAAAAAACTTTATAAGCAGACAAGGGAATCTCATTTCATTTTATTGTCCGAAATAATAAATAATRGCTGAATAAATTTATATTAAATCATACTCAAAGCTCATAATATTGCAAAGAAAATCTACTATCTTGAATATTATTATTCTAATCACTATTACTATCATTACTGCTATCAACCTTATGAGCCGCACGTGTTTTTGTCAAAGAGAAGCCTTTTTTGCTCCGCATGTAATACAGTTTTTTAGTTTTTTTTGTTTTTTGTATTTTTTCTGCTTCAAATGCACACCAAGTACCCGATTGGTAACAGTAATAGTATACATGATTTTTATACACAAATGCATCGCATGTTTAGACACATACTATTATTTCCACATTTTCATGCCACAATTAAGCATGCAGCGCTCAATGTGCCACGCACTTAGGGGTCAGTGCGTGACACGAAATGTGTAAAGGATGACTTGCGCATTTCGAGCCCTTCGAATTTTTCATTTCAGTTACATTTCTAATAGTCAACTAACGATATGTGTGTGTGTTTAAGGTCACATAGAATAGAAGTGACTGTCTCAGAGAATCAAAGCTTTAGACACATTCTATGACAGCCCATAACACATATCATATACCGATGCAATTATATTTGTACTTATGTTTTGTCTGTCTGTTTGTAACTGATACCGGAAATTAAGTTTACGCTGGAATAAAATATTTAATTGCATTGCTGATACACAGTGAGTTGGCAGTCATTTTGATCGCTATTCAAGAAAGCAAAAAGGTAATTGTTGGAAGGTCACAAGCATTTGCTGCATACATATTTACGAGTACATATGTATAAGTTTATGAAGCGACATACATACCTATGTATATGCCATATGTACCTATGTGTACTTCTGTGTATATATATACATAGAACTCTTATGCGTGTGTCTTAAGATCATTTAGTTTCTGTTGTTATTTCTGTGGCTTTATGCGGCAGGTTGGGCACTACTTGGCTTTTCTGTTTTCATTCATGTGGCTAACGCGTAAATYGAAGTTTCCGGCAAGGGCGCATTGATTACGCTGCTATTGTTAAAAAGTAAACGTATGGGCGTGAATATGC